TATGCAGGAACTTAGCTTTGAGGCACATCAAAGAGGAGCCACCCCTCTCCAAAATTCCTTGATGGGGTAAAGTCAGTTCCCCCTCCTTGTTCCTCCTTGGGCATCACAGGCATCACTTATCACATATCAAAGCTTTTATGGACTCAAGAAAATAAGATGTCCCATATTAGAAATTTAGAAGTAGTAGAAGTACACAAAAAGAGAATCTCTCTCTCTCTCTCTCTCTCTCCTCTCTCTCTCTCTCTCTCTCCAGGAAAAACAACAATCTCAGTCCAGAAAAGTACAGTACTAGGAACAGCAAAGATGCTGCACAGAACTCTCAGGCTCCCAGGCCTCTGGTAGAGGACCCGAGCTGGATGAGGGTGAGAGAGACCAATCACCGTGGAAGGTGAGAAACCTGTTCTGTCTTTGAGCAAGACACTTTTTCACTGTAGAGTGGGGCTGACTACACAAAGCAACTTATTCTCAGTAGTGATAACTTGTCTTATATCAAATATATGGAAACTGGAAAAGCCACTGCACACTGCCTTTTTAAAGATGATCAAAATATTAATGGCTAAAATATTCAGATTCACAATAAAGTATTCTACATGATAACTTGATTCTATATCTGACTAATATATTGAATATCTTTTGATTAGTTGTCTTCACCAATCTGGTAAGTATAGTTTCTCTTTAAATCCAACACTGAGTTGAATCACAGTGCTGCATTACCCGCTGTCTCTCCTGTTGCAACACACACACACACGCACACACACACACACACACACACACACACATACACACACACAGATAGAGAGAGAGTCCTATCGCCCCTCTGCACCCTCTCACTGTGGCATTACCACACCTTTATCTCATGGTTTGCAGCTCGCTGCGGCCGTCCTACCTCGTGCTCCTCTGGGCTACTTTACTAATAACCTCTTCCTTATCAGTCACACCGCACCTCTGCCTGTGATCAAAGAGCCAATTAATGCAGCGGGGAAAGGTGAAGCATTCAAATAATGGAGACAGCTGTTTTTCTCTGTTTGAGGAAAATCCATTTTGTATTGTTATCGGTCCGGAGCAGCACCCCCTCCAACCCGCTTAATTCAAGTCTCTGTCTGCGTCTGCCCGCCATGTGATAAGACGCGATGAGCAGGAGACAGGGGCGACAGAAAAGGGACTTCGGTCACAATGAACTTTATGCACAAGAATGTGGCAGGAATATCTCAGCAGTCCAACTCATCCCCAGGCCTTATCCGCTCCAAAGCTGAGATAAAGAGACAGGAGAGCAGGCGGAGAAAGAAAGAAAAAAAAAATCTCTCCCGTCCACTGTCCCCTGCTGTGCGACTTCACTGTCCCTCATTCTCAAAGGAACCGGCTGATCCTGGAGCTTTGAGCTTCTATGGACTCTATCACACAGACCTGGGGTTAGAGAGGAGGTTAATTGTAAGAGTGTCTGTAGACTTCACTTTCTTTAGAGTGCAAAGTCTGTCAAAATAGATTACAATATTGAAAATACCATTTGTGTTACTGAATATTAAATATTGTGATGCATTAGTTCCTCCCAGAGTATATAGTTAGTAATAAATTTAAATAAATAGTGTAAGATTGGCAACAATATAATATTTGAAATTTCTGAGATTTTAATTCATCGTGTGCATTCAGTTATGTCCAGATAGAAGTATGTGCACATACATCTTCATCCATCTCTTAAAATAAGGTGATGTTTATGCTGATGCTGAATCTGCTGTGAAAATGACATATACACTTAAATGCTTGTATTAACATATTTATTACACTGTAAAGAGAACAACAATACCAGAATTATACTGCAAAATTTCACAGACTGACAGACCATAGTTTACAGCCCAAAAAAACAAAAAACAAAACAAGAGAAATCAAGTCAACAGGAAACCACAGTTCTGACATAGTAGACTGAAAGCTCTGGAGCACACTGACACAAGGCGATGACAGACCGCCTGGTGTCAGCCTACCACTAACCTGTGGATCCACTTCTCAATATATTGCACAACAACTTCAAATGATGTGAGCATTTCACAATAAATTCTTAACAGAATGCAAAACCCCTCCCACCCCAAGATCAACTCACTTTCCCCGAATGCTACGGCCTTTTGAAGTTCACCTGTGGCCCCAGACTTTTCCAAACTGAAATCAAACAATCCCTGTTGTGAAAAAGCATGCCTCAAATACCTCTGGTTTGTACAAGCTTCACTGTCTCTTTTCAGTTCACAACAGAGAGGAGAGAGGAACGGGGACCAGGAGAAAAAACAGAGAAACTACATTTGTGGTCTTTACTATCGTCGCAGTATGAATCAACAAACACCTCTTAAATTTTGCACAATTTTAAAATCTGTTATAACAACATCATTGATCTCTATAAATGCCATAGGCATTAAGGAACATAACAAAAGTGAATCCTTTTCATTGATTTCGTATTCATTTACGCGTCATATTCTTGAGGTCTGCAAGTATGATATGGTTTTGCAGCTGTATGAGCTTAAACTTTGGGTTTATTTCCTGTTCTCTTGTGCCCATTTGGTTTTGACTCAACCAGGATCAGTGCTGCCACTGATGCTCTATCGGCTGTAGAGGTAGAGTGAGCTGTTTGCCACCGAGGAATTTGTAGCAAAACACACAAAGAGGAGGGAAGAAATGAAAGTCGAGCTTTAGAAGAGTTACAGACAATGTACATTTGAGTTTTTCTCTTTTAGCTCAGGTCTGCCCCTGATTATGACGAGTACACATGTGAATCATTGTTTACTTCACTGTTACAACAGCTTGGCTGTTTGTTCACAGCTTCTGAGGAGTCCCTAGGGTGTCACACACCTTTTTGGATGGTTTGTCCCTTCAGTTAAATGCAGATGGACATTGGAGTTGGGAGAGAAGGGAGTGTTCCAGGACAAACTACCAGGACCTTTCGGGCCTCCATGTTTCTGAGGTCAGAATTATAACACGTTTGTATGTAGCACCAAGGAGTTTGGCTGAGTGCTCTGTGCAGTGTGGTCTAAGTGCGTCTTCTGCTGCTTTCAGAGGTTTGCTTCACCTATTCAATGTTTACAACATAAAAACCCCTTTTTCACCCAACGGGAAAATGACATACTCTGACATAAATAAATATACAGTAACTGCAGATGGCACTCACATTCATGTCCAATAGAATATAAACAGAACTGCTTAAAGCTGCAATGGGCACTGGTCTGCACGTGCTGATGAGGAAATCCATCTACAGGGCTGGAGAGCACCCCTCTGCCCCTTTGGTTATTATTGCTCTGGGACACTGCTGCAGAAGCACTTTCTCTTTTCACTGTGTCAGCCCAGTGCCACTCTCTACAGAGAGGATCAAAATAAACTGCCATTAAACATTACAAATAAATAGCCTTGTTTGAGTGAACAAACCTCTTTTGAACTTGTTTGAAATCTGGATTTTGGTCCTTGGTGTCAGTCTTTGGCTGTTCAGGTGTTTCTTGTTTGATAATACTGTGTGTACCTGGTGCTTTGCAGTGTTAAAGCTGTTAATTGGAGTCTACACCTCTGCATTTGGAAAATATGTTTGTTGCATTTTTTTCTTTTGTTATTTTTTTGTTTTTTTCAGATTATTTTTCTAAAAAATAACAAACATTTATCAAATGATTGGTAATGTGCATGCACTGTTTGTAACAAACAAATGATGGACACCTTGGTAATGTACAGAAAATAATACGGATAAGTGTTGGGCCGTGTACATTATCCAGCTTCTCGACCCAGAACTTACCTACAATGAGTTATGGCTTAATACAACACAACTGAGGAGGAGCATGCTGATGTCTTTGTGACAGTGCAAATACGTGAGATGGCCCCAACACAAACAATTAATGTTCCCCTCAACATGCTATCTCTCAGACAAGATCACTTAGCAGCTCTGAGACACAGCTCTCCCCAAGTCCGATGCAAAGCCTATGACCAATCTACCACTATCACGTGGGTTGAATTATAAACAAAATTTAAAAAAATGTGAATCTTTTCTTGCACAGGTCAAAGTAAGCATTGTGAGAAAAGAGAAAAAGTATTATGCATTGTCACAACTGCCCAACATATAGGCTACAATAAATAACCATTGGTGACACCACAAGACATAATCTGAAACACTGACAGAAAAGTGAGTTAGATGAGACTGGGCTGAAGTTTGTATGTTCACTGTTTGTGAGTTTGGTCCAGTCCCACCGGCTGCTGTCTCTGTGACCCCACAGTCTAAGGAGCTCAGTGGTGGGACAATGACTTCACTTCCTGTTTCCTTCTGAGTTCCTGGTCCTTCAGAGGTGCACTGGTCTGCACTGGTTTGTCTCCTGTCCAAAAATCCTTCCTTTGACATCATTCAGGGAGAGCATTTGTATTTCCCAGCCCACTGACCTGGATATTATTACAAGTGAGAGGGAAATAACAGCTGGCTCAGGCTGCAATCTGCTGCACATCTGCCTCACTATAACAGTCTGTGGGCCGCAGAGCCAGACCAGCCTCTATCCAGGCACCCCTCCTTTAGGTGTACTCGCATTTTACTAAAGTGGATGTTGGTATACAGCTAAGCAATAAGTCCATTGGTTTGCTTCGTGAGGTTGGCTCTTCCCATGTCCAGCAGGTAGAATTATAGTCTTAGGAATGGCAAATAGAAATTGCTTAAAACAGGGGTAGATCCAATATACATACATGTTGGCTGTCTGTGTTTAAACTCTTTATATTTACAGAAGAAAGAAGGATAAACTACAATGACATTAATGTTAACAACGACGAGTACAACAGACAACAAGAGCAAGTGTAACAATAAAAGAGTGACAATAATTCATTCATTTAAAACAAAGAATATCTTTCTGTTTCTTTAGAGTCAATGGCAAGTCAATATGACCTGAATATGGACATTATCCTACTTTTAGTAGCCTACTAGATAGGCTCCGTCTGTTAGCCGCATTAGCGTAGCATCCCTGCAGAGCTTTATAGACAGTCATGCTGTGTGTGGTGGTGTTGCCATGGGCCTTTCTGCTCTGTTAGCCTGTTAGCGCGGTGTGGTGTCCAGGGCAGAGGAGGATGGAGTGCTGGGGGTGGTGGAGCGTGGGGTGGGTGCTGGAGGGGTGGTGGCTGGGCTGCCTGTCCCACTGCTGGGGGTGCAGGCGGAGGAGCTGATGGGTGCAGGGGTGTCAGCGCCCGGGACCCCTGCCTGCTGCTGCTGCTGCTGTGCTTGCTGCTGCTGCAGGGTCTGTCCACACACATGATGGTGCTTCTCCCAGTCTTTGTGCTGACAGAACGAGCCACAGTACCGCGCAGTGTTACAACCACTGCACGTCTCACTGGCCTTGCGCCCGCAGTTCCAGCAGCTCTGAAAGAAAACAATAGACCATGTGAAAAAGTGCATCAAACACAGAGACTCACAGCACAGTTAGAAGTGGGTTCTGTTGATGCTACACCTCCACATAAAAGAGCACAGATCTCACTCTGATGACTCCTTTGTGTCTCATTAAGAGCAGTGGGACAATGCAGGACAGCTATCTGTCCACAGGGATGAGTGGTTTTAAAGTTTACTTCTGAAACATTTCCCCCTGGGTGCATCCCTTTTAAAGCCTCAACATGTCAGAGGCACAAGCCATAACTCCTTCACACTTCACTGATTAAACGTCAAGGTCTATGTCAGAGATTATCAAATGAAATGGCTCTGCTTTATCTCCTCACAGCTGAATACACAGCACTTTGCCAAACGTGTAAACTACTCTGTCGGAAGAACAGAGGAGGTGTGAGCCACTGATGCTTGATTGAGCTAGCTTTGCGCTTTATTTGCTCTATTAAAGCTTGATGTTTTCATCTCTGAATGGTATGCACAGCTTCGTAAGAATACATTTGACAGTAAACAAACTGTGCTACAGTTCTGGGGCATGTTTGAATTAGAGTCAGTTTTATCCACATTTCTGTTCTCTTTTAGGTTGGTTCTAGTTATAACTACTGTGGCAAAGGTATCCTTCTGTTTTTGTCCTTGTAGTACTTGGAATGCCAACTTTTTTCTTCTGTGGTACTTTGTGTGAAAGTCTGTGATTCGCTATATTAGAACACAGATTATTGTAGTATTGGCATTTCAACTGGCAGACAAAGCTATGCAATAACTGAAAACTTTTCAAGAAGAATAACATAAAAATATTTGAGTATCCTGTAGTGCTGTCACGATACTAAAATGCAAACTAAATTCTGCTACAAAGAAACAAATTTGATACCAGTTTTATTTAATTGTCCTACTCTGATAACAGACTTTGAGGAGCATTGTAGAGAACTTGTACCTCACTGGAGTCCTCCTGCTGGTTGATGATGGACAGTGCGTCTTCAGCAGCTTGTCTCTTGGCCTCTGCGACCGTGCGCTCCATCTTGGCTCTCTCACTGCTGATCATCTCGTGGGCTTTACGCTCTGCCTCTGACACAGCCTTCTGCAGCTCCGACATGGCCTGTCTCTTCACCTCATTCACCGCTTCCTCTGGAAACATGGATGACACAGAAGAGGTCAGTCCACCCGCACCTGCAATTTAAAGTTCACCATCAACCTGCTGTATGAGAATTACGAACAGAGTGACATTGTTTGAAATGCTTTAAACAGGTAAACATATTTCTAAATTAAAGACAGAGGCAAGAGCATCAACCACTCTGCTATGTACCTTGTAACCCCTAGAAACTATGAAATATCTACAACTATTCTGTACAGAGTAACACCTGTCCCTGTCTTGTCCTTCTCTTGAGAATGTCCCACTTTGTTATTGATGCTAAATAGATCATAAAAGTGAATTTTAAATAGAAAACATGCTAGTATATATTTTTTCTCCCATAGAAATCCAGACTTTTTGGGGGTACTGGCATTCAAGTTTGTAATGTTATCACCACTGTTCCAAATCTCTGTGTGTTACAATGTCCCACCTTATTCAGCAACTTGTTTCTCTTTTTCTACAGTCTGAGGTGGTCATCCTTATTGTGGATCCTAATCTAATTCTGATCATGAAATTTAGGTGCACTATGTAACTTTTTGGTTAGGAGTCCGTCACTGCTTGTATGGATATGGATATTGCTCTGCTTGGAATGTTCCACCGTATGACATTAAACAGCTCTACCGTACATTTATTAACTTACAGGTGGTTGTGTAGCTCAAAAATACCTAGAAATACAGGTATTTTTACAGACAATGAGGGGGGTTCACTCTCCACAGATCTGAGCTGTAACTAGGCCTGGGAAACATTCCAGACAAAGCAATAGCATCTCCATGGAGAAAAGCATTTGACGTCCTTCCACCAGAAGATGTTACACACCTTTAAGTCCTCCTCACTAGAACAAGAATGATCAAAAATAAACTTGTTTTTTCTCTTTCAACTTAAAAATATCCCCGAGACAACAGCACAAGCCAATTAATTCCAGGTAATGACTCAGAAAATGTGCTTTTAAGCAGGAGCAGCGTGTTATTTTATACTTGTTTAGTGGAATAAATAACCTTGCTGCGCGGGTGTTAAGCACTGGAATTCTATCTGAACGTCAAAGCGAAAGGAAAGCTTTTTTTGTTTGCTCCCATCAAGCTGGTAACTTGACTAATTGTGTATGCAAATCAGGCAATTTATATTTAAATTATGCATTTCCATTGTGATCCCAGAGGCCCACGCGGCGAGGGGAAGTGGAAAACCGGTAGGACACTGTGCAAGGTGCTTGAATATTTATCACCAACTGTAAACATTTTGCCCATTTCAAACAGATGTATTCACCACCGCGCTTCATTGTGTTAAAAAAAATCCTATTTTACAATCCTCACGGGCTGCACTTAAATCACTCTCACCACAGACAGGACTGGTGTAGCTTCAGTGATAAAGAATGAAAAAAAAAAAACTGAGGGAAAGTACAGCTTAAAGCCAGACAAATTACTTTCATTTAACTTAATTGTGTGTTTAGTATGATGCATGTTTAAGCAGATCAAGTAAATTTAATCCATTGTGAAAAGGCAGAGCTAGAATGGATTTTTAGGTTGATGGTTGATGCACTGTGTTGCCAAACAAGTATGTTTAACCTCCATAATATTACAAGTACCAATGTCCTTATTACTCTTTGTACAGGTATTATAGTAGCACTGTGTATTAAGCTGACTATTGAAATATTTGAGTCAATATTAGTAACAAAAGCAGCAGCCATTGTAGTATAATGGATATTTTAATATAGGCTACAAATATCAGAAGTGGTGGTGGGACAAAATAAATGACTAATGCTATTATTTATTGTAAAAAAAATAATATAGCTCAAAGCAAACGCTACATTTTGATGTGAGACAGACTAATTGTATTTAAGTTAGTTTGTCAAATCCTTAAGTAGATTTTCCCATAACATTCTTTCCGATGTGAGGGAACTACATTTCTAACAGCAGTGGTTTTGTCTTTAACCTACTGTACTGCCTGAAGTCATGGAAATTGCCCAGCGTCTTGTGATATATGCCTGGTGCATGGGATTGTGATTACACACCAAATGCCTTAGATGGAAGATCGATCAAAGTGGGCGAGAGGAGAGAGCAGGAGAGTGGGTAAGTCCCGGTGGTGACGCTCAATTCAATTTAAATGCATATTACTTGTTCGGAGTATCTCTCACATCATGCTTGGTCAAGCAGGGGACAATTTCTTTTCTCTGAGGGGTTTAAAAGCAGATATACTGTATCACTGATGGGAATACAAAGTGGATTCTTCAAGCACTGAATAAGCCCTGATCCAAATTACTTTGAATTACTAAATGTCAAACTATATGTGTTTCCTTTTATTATTTAGATGATGCAGCCTCCTCCTGGCATTTTATAAAAACAACTTAATCAATCTTAATAAAGCATGAACAAACACTTAATTCATTATGAGCAAATATTTTATTAAGAATGATTCAGGCTTAGTAACTACTTAGTTTATACCCTAACCCTAAACCTTCAATAAGTAGTTGGGAAGTCTAAGTTATTCTAAATAAACTATTTGTTCTTTGTTTTTTATTCCCTTTTGTAAAAAAATAAAAATATGTGTAACAGCAGCAGTAATAGTACTACCAATTGTAGTAGTAGTATCTGAGTAGTTTATTATCTGATGTAACTCAACTTTCTGCTTACGATGTCTTTTTCTTTTATTAGGTCTTGGTTGAGTAGAAGAGCGTCTGCAGTAAAGGCATTAACCACAGCGCCAAGAGCAAGAAGATCTGTTTCTGGCTACTGTACTTTGAACTTTGTGAAGACTGCACCAGCTGTTAAACCCATGCACTTTCACTGGTGCAGTAAAAACGTGTTACAATCTGACATCATATTTGAATCCAAAGAGTGGTAAAACTTTGTAGATCGTAAACAATATTCTTTCAGAAGCCTGTGTCATTATTTGAAGTGTCAGATGGGGGTTTAAGTCTTTCATCTTCTTCCAAAGCTTAAGAAGCATTTTATTTTTACACCAAATTTGACAAATGACAAATACAGTATAGTGACAGATAACAAAGCAGAGGAATTATGCTTACCAGCTTTTTTCCAGATTTCTTCAGGGACATAACCACCAGACACAGGCCGATGCAAAAGGATTTCTAAGAGAGATAATTAAAATTAAAATTAGAAAATTGTAATAAATAATCATGTACTTTTAATCATAGTAAAGAACAAGTTAAGTCTTAATTAAAACATGATAAAGATCTGGTTTCCAATAGTTGAATTAATCTTGTAAGGCCTATAGTCCCTTCTCCACTTTAAAGGTGCATTGCGCAACTTTTCTAGTGGAGAGTCTGTCATCTGCTTGCTTCCATGGAGATGTTATTACTTTGCCTAGAATGTTCCATGGTATGACATTAAACGCATCTGACTAGCATTTATTCATTATGAGTATTTCTATTGCTTAAAAATACAATAATTCTCTCTGTGAAAAGGGTTGCCTCTCCACAGATCTGACCAATAAACTAGCCTACAGTTGTCTCTTTTAAGATAGGTTTAATCTCTACCATAGAAGACAAGCAGGTAGCAGACCCTCCACTAGAAAAGTTACGCAATGTACCTTTAATTAAAAGTTCAGCTTGTCCACCGTCTCAAACCTGTTGTGGTGCTGTCTTGTGAGGCTGGACTCTGCTGCCTGGACTGTCCACTCGGGGCACCCTTCTTGAGCTCCTCTGCGTCACTGTAGCGTCTGATCCAGTAGTTGAGCTCCTCGCGGTCGGCCTCCTGACACCTGCGCAGGACGGTCAGCGAACGCCTCGTCTTCTCCACCATGTCCATGATGCAGTTGAGCAGCTGTTGGCGACACAGGGGGTCAGAGCTGAGATCACACATCGACACTGCAGGTTTGCTCAAGTTCTGGATTGGGGTAAAGGGAGGAGACAGGGTGCTAACTCAAATATTACAACGGTAAACTTTAAAGGTCCTGTATTACGCAAAACTGACTCTTGTGAGCTTTTAGTCATGTTAGAATGTTGTTATCTCCTCAAAAACATACCTGGAGTTGTGTTTTGATGTTTGAGTAATCCTTTGTTATTAGTCTGTCTACATTAGTCTGTCTACCAAACCTGAAAATGCCCTGTTCCACCTTGTGAAATCATGAAGCTGTAGTTACCAACTACCTTTTACCTTTAGTCCAGTAGAGATTGGCAATTCTAGAGCACTTCCTATATTACCACATGACATCACAAGATTGAACAGAGTGTTTCCAATTTGAGAGAAGAACTCAGCCACATATTTAACACAGCAGGGTTTGCGTTAAACATGTGTGAATGAAACAAAACACAATTCTTAGTATATTTGTGATGAGGAAACAAAATTATTAGATAGATCAGAAAATGGTGTAATATGGGCCCTTTAACCAGTGATCTGCGATGTCACTGAAATATTTATATCAACAGACATTAATAACAGTACATTTTACAATGCTATGCTTTGTAAATCAAAATACAAAATATAAATGTTTTAATTATTAATTGCTTTGTTCTTGTTTGAGGTTCATTACCAGTAAAACATGCATCCAACAATAACTAAGTCTACTACTACATTCCACTATTGAACAAATGTAACATACAGTGTGAGACTAAACCCATGCAAAACTCTCTGAATGTATTGCAATATAAACAATAAAATAATGTTATAAATATAATGATGTTGTAGTGTAGTAAAGTAATAAAAATGTTATTACTTTTCTTACATGGTCAAGGTGCTTCCACTCCTCTGCCCACTCTCGGTCCGTCAGCCTGTGGTCGATCACTTCCTCCTGTCTGGAGCCTGAATGCATTCCTGCACACATTTACAGAACACATCATGTACTGTCATTCTTCTGTTTCTGCATCTTTCTTTGGATCTATCTATTTTTCCTCAAGCTTCATTCTGTTAAATAAACTGCTATATCCTCCTGAAGGATCATGGTCCATTTAGGCAGCTTTAGACGCTGTAGCCTATATAATATTCTGGGCCTGATTGAATCCAAATGTGCAGAGCATTTTTACAGCATATGGGTTAGCCTTTCAGAGTGCTAATATTATGCTTGGTGAAAATTTGTATCAAATATTTTTTTATTTCCAATACTCACCTTTTACATATTAAATGTGAGAACAAATAAGATGAAATCAGGCTATGAATGTAAATGTGATCACTGTATAAGGATGTCAAGATAATTACTGTATCGACTTATTGTTCAATACACAAACTGGAACATTATATTTTGGTGCTCAATATTTATAGTGCCCATATTTTTCTTGCAAGAGTGGGGAATTTTATTTATATGGTAAGATTTGAGCTGTAGAGGGATGAAAAAGTAGCTACCAGGACTAATAACTTGTCTAATAATGTTATTTATTTGTTGTAGCTCGTGCTTTTTGTAATATTAATGATGCTGTATTTTAAAAAATAGTTTACTGGGATTATCCTGCTTTATTTTTTATGGTGGCTATAGCAAAATGTAGTTTAAATTCTATAGCGCTTCTTTACAATCAAAGGTGCTTCACACAGTTCAAACAGACAAAGCACAAATGAAAAAATAAAAAACAAAAAAACAAAAATAAGAAACCCAGATAAAAATGAGACGCAGTTATTTGAAGGCAGTTTTGAACTGGTGAGTTTTCAGCATTATTGAGACCGCTTGAATAGTTTAGCTCACCGATAGGCCGAGCTCTCTCACGGATCTCCCTGTGGTTGGAAGCTGGGTGTCGGTACGTGTCCCGGTAGTGGTGGGCGATAGCCATGTCATCCAGTCTGTAGTGCTGTGGTGGGAGGGGCCCGGGGTGGGGAAGCCCATTGGGCTGGTACGACAAGCCATTGGAGGGGCTGAAGCGCTGGGCGGGGCTGATGGTGCACGGCCGCTTGCTGGGGTGAACATCTGGGTGAAGAGTGCTGTCCCTCTCAAAACCATTCTCTTTAGTTCTGTTGAGAAGGACAAAACACAAAATGTTTATGCGAATAACTCATTGAAATGTTCTTATTTTCTTATTTATATATTTTCTTATTTAGGAAAAACAAGCATGGTAACTGACTGTAAAATCAAGAAGATGGCTTGCAGCTAGCAGCCGAAACATGTCAACAAGGTAAATACACTTTACTGCATTGTCTTTAAAAAGAACCTAAGAAGTTAAAGTATATAAGAAGACAAAATGAACATCTTTTGCTTAGATTGTAAAAATGATCTGAAATGGCATTATTATTAGTGAATTACTTCGCAATCCTTTTAAGGTGTAGCCTGACTTGTGAATCCCTATATACAGTATGTATTATGTATCAAAGTAAAGCTGAGACACTGTACCATTACAATTTCTCTACCAAGAATATAAGGATATAAGAATATAATACTGTACAAGGATATTAATTACAATGAATGGCAGTAGTATCATGTACAAGACTTTACCTGTCCTCCAAAAAAATAAGTCATAAATAAATTTGACAACACACTCTTTGCTTTGAGCAGCTCTGGTTGTTTTCATCCTTGCATGTTCCTGCACAGCCCCTCACACCTCTCTCTCTCACAGGCTGTTCCTGGGATCAGGTGGATTTTTGTGTCTGCTACTGAAGATGAATGTCTCCAGGTGTGTCTGCGTGTGCGTCTTTGTGTGCATCTACATGTGTGTCGTTGTGTGTGTTCCCCGCTCCGTCAGTTCACACTTAAATCTCATGCCTTCCCCCACTGTCTGCAGCACACCCGGCCCTCCTCTGTCTCCTCGTCCTCCAGTCTTTCTCTGAACAGATTGAACTTCTTAATGAGCTGGTTTTATGGGCTCCTAACGCTCCTCCACAGCTCTCCATATGCTCCATCCCTCTCTCTTCTCTTCTTTCTCTGCCTCCTTCTGCTCATCCATTTTTCCTCAGCATCCTGCGACAACAATGTGTCTATAGACATGGCCTTTACAATAATTGGATAAGACATATGCATAAATAAGGTCATATGAATAAATGTATACAGTTATACAGACATGCATGCATTTTGGCAATCACTTTAGGGGTCACCACTTTCCATACCATTTTTCATATTGTTTACTATTGTATATTTAATCTGCATATTGAAGTCTGCATGTCTGTCTACATGCATGTATTTATGTATTCATTCGTCATTTCATTCATTCATTCACACTTGAGCAGAAAGCCAAACACCTTCTATAAACAAATTTTTAAGACGTGGCCACTGATTTACATTTTTACCACATACATGCAGGCTAAAAAGCTTTGTATGGTTTTCATAACTTCTAAGAAATGACTGGACACATGAAGTATCATATGGAGGTAAAAAATTGCCTTTTGAACACAATGCAAACCTCAACGCAATCTTGGCTGTCCGCAGCTGGAGTCATGTTGACCAATATTGATGCTGTACACAATCTGTGAGTAGACACCTGCTACCCTTTACTAGCATGACTAACATGTCCTCTTCCACTAGACCCATAAATCTCATCTTTGCTATTAGACTCTTGCCTTTAAGCGCTCACTCAAACAGTGTGGTCAGAATCACATTTGACCTCTTTGACTTTTACACCATGATATCAAACATTACATCATTATATCCTCCTGTAACTCTTCACTCATAAACACAATCTGTCTTCTAGTTCAGCCTCTAGTTTTTTGCTTTGTTTTGTTTTATCACTTTCCATGCAGAGAACAGTTTAGTAACCAGAAAGTACAATTACAACAAAATGGGACATAAAAAAACAGGGAAAAAAAGAAAAATGACAAAAACTTCACTAACATATCTGGATATATATCTACAATGTTGAAATTGCAATGGTGAAACAAAACATTTAAATTCTGAGATTCTTGTAGAAATTTACCTCTTGCCTGTATTGTCTTCCACAAGCCACAAAGCTCATTTTTATTTCACAGTTATCTACATCCCAGACGCTCACTCATATCTTAGTTTCCCTCTTGTGCCTACTTGAAAACACATTGCTTAGGTATTAATCAGTAGCCAATCGACAGTAGACTCTTGCATGTAATTACAGATTCCCATTCCGATTCCGATATTCCAACGCACAGCCTCCAATAAGTGGGACTGTTGAGCCGAGCTAAGCAGAAAGCCAGAGGTGCTTAGCCAGCCATATTGGTGCTGGAGACTCATCTATATGTGTTATCAGCCCATCTCCCGAGACACCCCTGCCTGCACCGCCAATGAGCTGGGTTTCTTCTATCTGTCTACACACGTGCACAGTAGTTGAAATACAGATGCGCGCTTACTTTTTCTTCCTGTCTATAGATTTGCGGCCCTTTCCCCTCAGCTCGCTCCCCCATGCACAGGGCGGCTCACAAATATGCAGGCCGTACAGAAAAAGTCACAGTTGGGGGAGAGGAGAGGTGAAAATTATTAATATGGTGTTCGGCATTTTTGTCCCTCAGCAAATATAAAAAGTACATTTTCCTATCCCGCTGCTTATATTAAAAAATGAGATCGCCCAGGGGAATCACTCTTTATTTCAACGGGCCACATAATGCTTGCAGTACAACAATACAGTGCAAATACACAAACAAAGCACAAAAACATCTGGCTTATAAGTTGCTTAAAACTTTCAAATGAACGATATCAGCATGTATCAGCGCATTTGTAGTTTTCCGTATTAAAAATCATAAATAACTCCATATGCGGGGTGTCAACAGGCTTAAAAATATGATGTAAGCTTTTGGTTGCGTTGCAGCTCGAGAGTAGAAATATTACCTCATGGAGAAGCGGGTACAGACTTCAACTTTCAAAACCTATTCTGCTGCTATGGAGAATATTATTGCAAGTTTAACATAACATATTTCACCATATTTTTTATTCTGCAATAGTCCACACAAGTAGGACATTTATTGACCCAAACATGACAACTATCCATGGTCTGATTGTAAGACATAAACACATTTTACACACTTGTGTCCTAGGCCATAATAGGGTTAAACTAAGAATTCTCTCTCCATGTACTCCATAAACCAACTCCTAATGCAAAACAGCATAAGTGATAAAAAAGAAACCAGGGTGCTACCATTGGTCCATTAAAATGTATGGCCAAATAGAAAGTATAAACTTTGAACAAGATAAATAACCAGAATGGGTAATGTATTTTTCAATCCTAAATCAAAACAAAGAAAGCAACAGTGAAAGCCTGTATGCTCAAAGGTGTTAAAACACCCAGCAGGGGCTTGAATGATTATAGTAATATGACTCAGGCACAGTTCCCACATACTGCAGTTCAATAGACCTAGCTAACCTACAACTCTACGCAAGTAGGTGTTTTAGTTTCAGAGTAGTTTCAGTGTAGTTAGCCCCTCCCTTCAGGCAGATATAAGGCACTGTCCACCAGCAATCTCATCAGACCTAACGTAGCAGCTTGGATAAAATGTAGTAGATAAAAAATCTTTTGTCCAACTACCAATTTTTTCTTTTCTTCTTTCCCATAGAATGGGAAATATTTGCAAAAATTTTTCCAGTAGTTAAACGTATAAGTTATAAGTTGAGAAAGCTAAAAGCTTCTCTTTGTTTAACTGTATGTATACATTTATATCCACATAGTGCTCACACAGTGTGATTCTTGCGGTTGATGCAAGTGATCCCTGTGCTCACCTGTCAGGTGTCCTCCTCTTGCCGTTCTCGTTGACGTCCAGCGGAGCTCCGAGGAGTCGACAGGAGACGTGGTGCTGGTGTCCAACAGCAGCTGCTCGTGCTGGGCCAGGTACTGGGCGGGGTTCTGCTTGGCCAGGCGTGCACAGTGGAGCAGCTCCCTCTGCAGCAATGGCAGGTTGGCCTGAGGAGCACAGCACTTCATTAACAACAAACAAAATGCAACATATTTAAGATCTGACTATGGCCATGTTATTGTCTCAAAAGAATTAACCCTTAGGATGAGGCCGAGGGGTAGCTTTCTTCATACTGATTAATCTTGATATTAACTTTGACATTATAAAACAAAACAATTGATTTCTTGAGCATAAAGAACTCCCCGATGCACATGCTTTGAACTGGCTTTTGACGTCTCTACTCTCCGACCACTGCCAACTAGACATGACTGAATCTTGATTTTTAAAATTTCTGTTAATTGCCCAGCCCTGTTACAAGGTCTTCAACTTTGAAACCTTTCTCTGGCACACTGTTGAAGGGTGGAGCTTCTAATTATGATCAAAAACATTTGAAAGCTCAAGATTCACAACACAGTTTGAAAACCTACAATGCACAACAGATCAAAAACACACAACCTCATTTTGTCCTTCCTCTAATTCTCACACAGTTACTCACACTTCAGAGTGTGACCCAGGCTACATCAGCACCCAAACAGCCTCTCGCTCCACCACATTGCTATCTTTCTTACTTATTTTTCCACATGTAACGAGGGGCCTGCTTTCTTGTGTAGCCTTAGCAGGTCATGCAGGTATGGCAGCATCCACATCAAAGACATCTGATGGGGCACATTTTCAAGCAACAAGATGAAAGTGTTGCGTCAGTTCGGATCAGAAAGAAAAAAAGTGCCAGCTATTTTGGCATCACAAGAGCCTCCCAAGAGTCCATCTTCAAACTTTACTAATCTTTGTTTTGTCCTCAATAACGTAACGTTTCCAAGTCTTGCTTTATAGTAATTTCCCTGTCCAAATTGCTTCTGTGTTTTGTCCTACATTAGCGGTTCAAATTGGCTCCATTCTTTGACCATTTTGTGTTGTCGTTGCCAACAGTGAACGCGCAACACGGCTACGCACTTGTGTCATAATCATACAGTGTGCTAATTAGCCATAGTAAAGGAAATGCCAAGTGCCGGCCTTTGCTTTACCTGCCAGAGTTAATGGCGCGTTAACGGTTTATGATCATAATTACCCTCAGCGAAAAAGGAACATCAAATAGATTGCTTTGACCCGTGTGAACTCATCTTTTCCTTAATTAGAGGTCACCCTAATTGTTGGAGATATGGGATGCATTAACAAAAAAAAGGTTCTAGAAATACAGAAGAAGAGGAGGTCATTTTTCATAAGATAAACTGTGCCAATTTGCCCCTGTCCGCTTACAGTATCCAACATCTGTAGCGAAGAAAGGAAAAAATGCAAACAGTGCTTAGAAGCTGCAAGTGCTCAAATGAACTCCTGCATGATATTGTGAAAAAACCTGATTTGTCAGTTTGTCAAAGAGCACCCAAACAAAATTCAGGCCAATCTATGAGAATATGCTGAAGTAAATTTCAGTTCAGTTTTGGTGTGATCATGTTAGACCTGTCACAATAACACATTTGAAGCACAATATATTGCTACAGAGAAATATTGTGATAAACAATGACAATGAAAAAACCTGACACAAAGCAAAATAATGCCAGTAAACCAATTTTTACATAGACAGCATCATTAAAAAGCCTACTGGACAGTTTTATTGATTTAGAAGAAAAGAAAACTTTCCCTACCAAATATGAAAGCTGTTTGAATTTTTGGAATTGCACTGTATGATTACAGATTTGTTCCTACTTTAGTCCACAACAACAAGCATACAGTGTTCATGCTTACACATTCACCACATCATAATCAAGACTAGAACAGACCAAATAGTCCACGTCATAATTAAAGGGCCCATATTATGCTATTTTCTGAGCTATGTTATAATGTTTTCCTCATCAAAAACAAGGTTTGGGTTCTCCACTGTGTTTTTAAACTCCATACACCTTCACAAGAATCATGCGGATAATTACAGCCCTGTAATTACCAATGTGCTTAACTAAACAAAGGGTAAAAGGTAGCTGTTAACTTGAAAACTACTGCTTCTTGACATCACAAAGTTAAACAGAGCATTTTAGGCTTTGGGGATATAGACAGACTAATAAAAAAAGGATAACTCAAGCATGTGAATGAAACAAAACACAAGTCCAGGCATGCTAACATGACTTACAGCTCAGAAGAATCATTTTTGTATAATATAGGACCTTTAAATAAGACTCAGAACAGTACCAAACATGAAACACATCCATGTATGCACTAGCTTTACTAAGTATTTTACTAATACCATTATATTTTACATAACCAACATACCAAGATACACAAAATTGTCTAGAAATTAACAATCTAAAAACACTGATTCCAGTTCAGCCCCACCACATTTCTATATTAACCCCCTTCATTTGAAAACGCTGTAATCTCAAGAGGCGTCGTCCAGTATCACGTCACTGGCGCTGTGTGGTTTATGATTGCCTGTTTTCCAGTAAAGAGTCCCGTCCAATTATTGGTTTTGAATTGAGAGCGAGGGAAAGTGGTGTGCTACATTAGTGCAATGAAAAAAACTCTATGGCCACATGTGCATTGTCGCAGCTGCTCTCCGCTGCACCTACATCCAATTGTGCACCCACCACCATCTCCTCCCTATCTCCGACCATATGGTAGCTGGCATTAAAAGGCCCCACAGTGGGAAGACACTAAAATTAGACTGGGGAGTGAGAGAGAGAGAGGGAAAAGAGTTGCATCTTTGATTCTCTCGTCATCCCAGTGATACAGCGACCATCTGGCAAAGAGTGGAGAGGCAACCACAGCACAGACGATGGATGGCTAGAGCGAGAACAGTAGATAAACACAGACAGGAAGAAGGAATGAGTAGGTGAAGTGTGCAAGGACTTAGGAAAGGAGACAGAGAGGACACTGGTGCTGTTTGCAGTCAGTAATAATGGTTCTAGTGGGACCAATTTGAGCTGCCCACATCCAGCCAAGACCTGAGCACAAAGTAGAGGCTTGTGAAAGTCATGCATCTCGAAATACACACACACGACAGAGCAGGCTGATCTGAGCCGAGCAGACGGTTGTTTTGGTAAATAAAATCTGCCTCGCACCTGTCACTCTCGCACAAACAAAGAGGCACACTTCAAATGTGTGCTCAACTACAAATGATGATGCTTCAGAGGTATTACTACTCCAAGAAAATGTTCACCATTGTATGTCAACACAGGAAGCATGGTGACTCAAGTGTATTGCTCAAGGACACATTGGCAGCATCCACTGATTAACCAAGGATTGAACTGCTTTTTCTGGGTAATCTGCTCTACCTCCCTACTGCTGCCAGCACACATACAGTAGACTTAATGCACTGTATGTCTCTACTGCAAGTCACCAACACCATCAAAAACTTTACTGTACCAATATATGGAGATAATATATAGACTGATATTATTCATAAGGTGAAATTATTTTATTCTACACCTTGATAAAAAAATCCATATATTGAAACATTACCACCATTAAAATAAAGAATACATTCATAATAAAATTATACATTAAATATAGATTGTTTAATTTTGCTCATTATAGTAATATGTTCACCTCAGAGCGTAGTTTTGCCACTTGTTCATTTGCTACCAAGGCATCTGGAATGTCTTTCAACACTTTATCAACTTTATTGCATAGCCTAAGTAGAAGCAGCTTTGCCAATCCTCATTTTGACTCCTGCTCTGAAGGAAAACGCAGTGCAGTCAAATACATATATCTAAAAGCAGTGCATTTCTCTTTTGCATCAGTTATCCAGGTCCTGTGTGTATGTTCGTGTGTTTAATTTGTAGGAACACAGAACAAACAACTCCAAAAACAAGTGAAAACATGATATAATGATGTAATACAAACATAACAGTATCTTAGCATCTTGTGCAACTGCCGAAACAGTGATGCAAGAACGCATCAGACTACACACATTCATATGAGGCAGGATAAAAACACAAACTCATCCAGAGTCAATGGCTAAGAAGTACCTAAGAGAAAGTATTAAAAAGCCTGTATTATACTATTTTCTCATCTGTGTTACAATGTTGTTTCCTCATCAAAAACATACCTGGAGTTGTGTATAGTTTCATTCACACATCTTATTGAACGGTACTATAGGATGCTCCACTGTTTTTAAACTTCATACACCTTAACTAGAATTATTTGGATGATTTCACCCTGGAATTGCCAATTTCTAAAGTAAAAGGTAATGACATCAAAAGATGGTACAGAGCATTTGGATCTTGGGAGATGCAGACAACCCAATAATGCAAGATTACTCAAACATGTGTGAATGAAATAAAACACAACTCACAAGCTCACAAGAGTCAATTTAGTCTAATATAGGACCTTTAACATATGCTGAGCAAAGCTACATGTTTTCTAGATCTAGGGTGAATGTAGATTTGAGTGTGTACCTTCAGAAAGGGGATGACAAACGGTCGTAGAGGGAAGTTGGTGGCTTCTTGGAGTTTGGAGTGGAATTCTTCGATGGTTAGCGTGGAATTCTGGAGGGAGACGGAGCACACATGAGTCCACATGGAAAGCATTAGACTATGATATTACTTATTGGAGGCTAAGTTTTATTCTGGCCCATAAGTTAGACATTTGGGCGTGTGTAATTTAAAGCACATGTACAGGCCAGGCAAAGAAACACCAAAACAAAGATTCTTTTCAGCTATCAAAACAAATATCTGTAAGGGTCACATCTTCAGAAAGTGTGTGCGTGTAATGGAAAATAATATTTACCATATGAGATTTTACACTAGAAAAGAATGGCTGCCCCTGCTGTGGTTTCTCTGCTTATTTACTTATGGGTTTTGGCTTTCACTAAGTGCAAAATTAGACCTTCATAAAACTACAAAAACATCAATTTGTCAGAAATGTGCACACACTATATTTTAATAAATGAACACTGGTCTTTCAATTTAGAAGAACTTTCCTTTTTACAGCCAAATTGTTTTTGGGCATGTGCTGAGGCCACCGTTAATGTCCTTTTTATGACAGCCTAACCTGAATTATAGCATTTGGAGAACGTTTTCCTACAGATCTATGATATTAGGTTCTTTTTCAGCTCTACACACTAAGTTACAAACAACAAAAACTTTTACAGGTTCTACAGTAGCAGCAAAGTTTAAACCAGTACAGCCTACAGATCCCAAGTCTGTAAGCATCTTATCATTTGGGATGAATTTTACGTTGGATGCCTTCCCAGAGGAACCCTATTCATTTCGCCATACACATTCATAACAGACCTGTATACTAGGCCTGTCACGATAACAAATTTCAATGTGCTACTGTACTGATGAAGAAAATATAATAATAGTAATCAGTGGCAGAGTTAGCAATTTGGGGGCCCTAGGTGAACTTGAGTTTGGGGCCCACACCATAATGCACCTATTTATATATATATATATATATATATATATATATATATATATATATATATATATATATATATATATATATATATATATATATATATATATATATATATATATATATATATATATATATATATATATATATGTATGTATGTATTTGTTGTCTGTTTTTCCCCATTGCTCTTGAGACATGCACATCTTTATTTATTTGAATTATGGTGGATTGGAAACTTATTTTATTATAATTTTTTGCTAATACAATTGCATTTTTTTTTTTTACATTTATTACATATGATTTTTATTATTTTTCTTATGATTATTGTTTAAAAGTAAACTACTCTCATTTAATGTCATACTGAGAGAAAATCAAATTGCTCTGAGGCCTCGGCCATTAGTGGCACTAAGGGCAATTGACTGGGGGCCCCTCCAGGTTTGGGGGCCCTCCGCAGCCGCCTACTTTTGGCTGGCAGTGCTGCCAATAGTAACTATCATAACAGGCCTACAGTATACTGAATACAGAACTTAATTTTCATTGTGCTAATCATTATCTATTTATATCAATCAATCAATCAATCAATCAATCAATCAATCAATGATTGATTGATTGATTGATTATCTATTTATACAATTGTTGTGTAGGGTTACCGTGTTACAAAAGCAATAACATCAATAGCATTTAGGGGCCCAAAGTAGGTTGCACGTTTTCAAATACTAATCTCTGTTCCTTTGAATGTTTGACAAGGCAAAGCTGATTTTGAACATGCAATTTCCCATAATGCATTGAAGGAAAACACGATGAAAAGGGCTTGTATACAAATGGGACTAAACCAAGTAAAAAACAGCAGTGGATATTATTTCCCCTCCAATTTGCCTTATTTCCCAGACCTGAGTTTTGTTCCGTTCAGCTTTACATCTGTTGGTCCAGATTGCACAGCACTGTTTCTTGACAGCTAGTGAAACCTCCGGAGTCTCCTCTATGCGCCGCTCCCCAGTACACAAACCAGCTAATTAACAGTGTCACTCTCCACTCTGAGGCAGGAGGGGGCACCGGAGAGAGGAGGAAGGGAGGAGAGGGGAGGGATTGTTAGGGAGTGTGCGAGCCAAAAGGACACAGGAGAGATGAGCACGAGAAAAATAAACATATGAATCCAAAAGCAGGCTATGCTCTTTGTGGCTAATTAAAAAAAAATCCTCCTATGCCTCCTTTCCTTTGTAACGTTCAGTCACTATTTCTGTATCCTCCAGCCTGACATGCTCACCTGCTCTCACATCATAGCAAGTTTACTATAGTATTAGCCCAGATATATCAGTGTGGATTTGGTTTCATGTCACTCTATGTATAATATGGAGCTTTTTCTAGAGGCTTGTTTATGTTTTTCTTCAGACAAATCAAATCAAATATACACCTATTTTTTTTTACAGAAAGACAAAGATTTGATTCAAGAGCAAAGTTCATTTCAAAAATGAAATCATAAAGCAAAGCAAAACAAATATTTGGAGAATATTTTAAAATAAGCACAAACCAAAAAAATATATAAATAAATAAAAGCACCACAGTAAGCTGAAATTACCCTCTAATTCTTTTCATGCATTCCTCTTTATGTTTTTTAAGTGCTGAGACTGGTGCAAAAAACACCAAGTGCTCTCTGACTTTCTAGAAATGACAGCATACCAGCATCGTAAGGCTACTAAATACTACAGTAGCTTTATACCTGGTTCTAGGGATGCACCAATACAAACACTGGTATCGAATATCAACACTGATACTAAAAAAAATGCTATATCAGCTTCCAGATACCGGTTCAGTATTCTGTTTGGGCATTTATTTGGATTTAATAAGGCTATTTACAGGTTGATTTTGGCCTAAAACATCTCATAGTGTTGGAACTTTTATTATTATATTTTATTATAAGTAGTTATTTACATGATAAATAAGAATTACACAACACAACTAAATCTCTTGTGCAAAAGCTATTTGTGTTTTAAGGAAACAAGTTTTATTTTCAGTCCCTTCACTAGTATGGGTTAATACTGGATATCAGCACATGCTTAAACTCAAAGTATTGGTATTGGTATTGGAACTGAAAAGGATGGATTGGTGCATCACTTGGTTCTAGCAATTAACTCAAAACTCATTTCACATTTTTTTCTCAGACAGTGCAGGTACTCACCACTAGTCCCAGCACCAGTGTCCGCACCCGCTCTCCGATCTCAGGTGAGATGTCGTTACCAAACTGCTGCAGGGTGGTGAGGAAGCGCTTGAGCTTACTGAGCTGCCGGGCGCCACAGGCTGGAGGCAGCTGCTGATTAGCCAGTGAGGAGGAAGAGGAGGAGCTTGGACCGTTACTGTAGCCATTCGGGGGCGAGGGTGCACCGTTGAGGGCTGTAGGTGAGTGACTGCTTCCATTGGTTACTGTGGACACAAGAAAGAAGCAAAAATGTCAAAAGAAAAAAACATATGTGTTTCTTTATTTTATTCAAAAGGTTAAAGGTGCACTATGCAAGTTTTTGGTTGGGGTCCTTCACCTGGTTATTTCTATGGATTTGTCATTGCTCTGCCTGAAATGTTCTAAAGTATGACAGTAAACAGTGCTACCTTACATTTTTACATAAATTACACATGGTTTCATAGCTCAAAAATACCTAGAAAAACAGACACTCTGACTGTGATGGGGGTCACCTCTCCGCAGATCTGACCTGTAACTTGACCTGGTTTGGTCTCCTTGATGGTAGAAAGGTTTAATACCATACTGTGAAGCATCCTAGACAAAGCAATAACATCTCCACATAGAAAAGCATTTGACTGACCCTCCATCAGAAAAGTTACACAATGCACCTTTAAACTAGTAATTGGCAATGAATTTAAAAGTTTGAAAGTTGGTTGTGATACTATGTGATCATAAAACATACTGTTGTTAAGGGTGTATCTCAACTATGGCCCATCATAACTGCACAACACTTGAATAGACATCAAAATGAACAAAAGGGCAACATTTTCGAGTTTCACAAAGTGTATTTTTGGAACCAATCAAAACGTACTGCGGACAAGTCAGCTATTTTAAATGAATCACAGTCTACAACATTAGTATGCCTCCACACTCGTCGCCTATTAATGCCTGTCTCATCCTTTTAAAACAAGCACATTTGCTAACTCCAGCCATGTCGACCCTCTCCACCTCCCTCATTCACTAACCCAGCCAGGACTCCCCGCTACGTCTCGCTGCTACCACCACGTACAAAGACATACAAGGTGGCATAAAGCTCTCTCCTTAATGAGATTAGCTTTTCACTAGCGCTCCGCTCACTCCCCCTCTGGCTCACGTCCAAAGTCTGCCACTGTACGAGCGCGGAGAGAGAAGAGATACTCCACTATACAGCATCTGCTAACAATTACGCTGGGCTAGAAAAATCAAAGCAAAAACTGCATTGTTAAACCCATAGTAATGAGAAAGAGCTTTGACTTTTCCCTCCCTCCAATCCCAGAAGCTGCCCCTGTTAATTGCGGAGTGTTGTAAGCGGCGCACATTGAAACAGAAGAAGAAAGTATAAGGAAGTGGAGGGGAAAGCGTGGCCCTTGTTGCCAACATCCAACGCTGCTAAAGTAGGAGCTGAGTGGCCTTTGATTCTTTGATTCTAGTGCTCTTCACGCGAGTGGTTAAGCTGCACTTCTTGCTCAATACCAGGCTGTAATTTGCTCGTCAGTGGCTACGTGAGCGGCATGGCACTGCTCCAAGGGTTTGTGTGAGCTTTAATGAACTTGTTGGGATAGGAGAGAGAGAGGGAGGGAGCTGCAATTTGGAGAAAGCTGAATGCAACTTGGCCTCGTTACCAGTGGTATTGTAGAGCAGGCCCTGGTAGCGAATGTTCAGATTTTTATGTATGGCTGGATTTTGGCTGGATGTAAAGGAATGTAAAGATGTATAATTTTAACTCCCATATAGCTTTTGAACTGAGTATCTCATAGCACTAAAATGTTATTTGAGTTCTTAAAGGAAACAGGATAAAACATTTATGTTATGTGAGTACCCACGTTATCTGTAAGATGCTCGTGTACTCTTTCAATCACAGCTTAAAGTTAAAGTTTAAAAAGTGAAAGTTTTAAATAAAAAAATGAATTATGTTTTGAGTTTGTGAGGTCCAAAGCAAAGAAGTTAGCACAGAACTAGGCTTGTCATGGTAACACTTTTTGAAGCATGATATATTGCTAAAAAGAAATATTGACATAAACGATGATGTAAATACTTTATGCCACTGACACAAAGCAAGATAATTCAAGTAAATGTATTTTTAAATAGACACCATCATTAAAAGGCATAAGCTGCAACAAAGAAACAGCAGACTAAACTGATTAGCCAGAGAAGTTACTTATTCTACCCTCTACAACTCAAATCTTGACGTTATTACGTAAAAATGGGGCAAAAATCTCCTGTATTATTTCAGCTTTCATATATTGAACAATAACTTGATATAGTAATTCAGTTTGTGCTTGATTCTAACATGATGTGGGAGTGACACTAGCAGCAATGACCTGGGAGGGGTGTAACCTCTTTTCAGCCTTTGGAGATTGGAATATGCTCTCTCCAAAACTCCTTACAATCTGTTTTCCTCAAATGTTATTTCTCCAGATGATTCAAATTAAACATACTGTAGGTGTACTCACGTGTTGTTGGTGTGTAGGAGCTGTTCCGTGGGGCTCCCTGTGTGCTGGGTGGTGGAGGCATAGTGGGAGGGGTTAACCTGGACTGTGTTTTGACGTCCGCAGGAGAGTCGGGCATGGTGGAGCGCTTCCCTGGGCGATCTACAACATACAAGCACAACCGTTAGTTACTAAAACACATTCAGTCAAGAAAAAAAAAAAGTGATACCGACTGACGCAAATACACACACTGCAAAATGAAGGAGAGGGGAGATTCACAAGCAGACACAACGACAGCAGACGCAGCGTAAATATGCACCAAGTTGAGCTTCAATCTAGCACCATCTGTGGCAACGGTCTCACCATAACACCAATGTACATTTCTCTGCATACAACATTCACATCTGTTCACAACAAAGCAACATAAACAAGCACAAATAGGCGGGTCCTATGTTCTAAAAGATACTAAATCAAAACTTTCAAATGTCGCCTACTGTGTTAGTATGTTTGTTTTGTTTCTAAATGTGGTTTACAACATAACTTAATTGATTTAACTTCTAACTATACTCATGTTTTATATCGAAGGGCCCATATATTCTGATCTTCGTTATAATGTTGTTTCCTCATGAAAAACATACCAGGAGTTGTGCTTTGTTTCATTCAGACATGTTTAACACAAACCCTGCATATTTAGGTTCTTCTCTGTTTGTTCCACCTTGTGATGTCAAATAGTAATAATTATTTATTTATTTATTTATTTTGCACATATAACATGACAATAAAAAGAAACACACTAGATAAAAAGTAGGTGCTGGAAGAGGCAAAAAAACCAATAGGGCTTATATTAAAGCCTCCACCTTATGAATACATTAAAACTTTTACATTATCGTTGTGCATACAAACTTACATATATATATATATATATATATATATATATACATATATACACACACACACACACACACACACACACACACACACACACACACACACACACACACATATATATATATGTATGTGTATATACATATATATATATAAATTACATTTAAACACCATGCATTAAATTATTTTGATTCAAACATGGATTAAAACACAATAAAAAATCCACAATTGAAAGATTATCAAACATTAGTATGAAATATCAAACATTTCCTCAAACTCTTTTTAAACAATGCCTCTGATCTGCCGTCACTAACCAGATGTGAAAACTAACTCCAGAATTTACAGCCTCTGTATCGTAGGCAAAACTGAGCTCTTGATGTGACAAATTTTGGAACATGAAAATTATGCATTATTGCAGTTTTGTATCTATGAATCTCTTAATTAGTTTTAAAATAAAATGTGAAATGTTTGGGGATCGTTGTTGAATTGTAAAGAATTTTATACATAAAAATACAAATTTGATAAATATTAATCTCATAAATATTAAGAATGTTAAGTTTAGTAAATAAATGAGCAGACGATGTTAGTGGCATAGAATGAGTTGCAATTCGAACAAAATGTTTTTGCACCAATAATATTTTGTTAAGAGTAGTAGAGAAAGTGCTTGCCCAGACTATATTACAATATGACAGATAGGGATAAATGAAACTATAATATAATGTAAGTATAGAATTTGAGTCCATACAATACAGGAAGTGCTCCACTGTGTTTTTAAACTCCATGCACCTGCACTAGAATAATTTGGATAACTTCAGCCCTGGAATTTCCAATGTCTACAAAACAAAAGCTAAATGGTAGCTCTTTGAAACTGAAACAGAAAACTACTGCATCATGACATCACAAGGTGGATCAGAACATTTTAAGCATGGGAGATATGGACAGACTAATAATGCAAGATTTCTCAGACATGTGTGAATGCAACAAAACAAAACTCCAAGTACGTTTTTGATGAGGTAACAACATTCTAACTTGGCTAAAAGCTCAAATGAATGAAGGGTGAATTTCGTGTAATATAGGACTTTTAAGTATCGACTTCCAGCTCTGATGACACACACATCGCTTTACACCTGAGCAACAGCTATGCCATCTAAATTAAATCAAACTGCCTCCCAGATAAGAGCATTAATCATGAGGAAAACATTTTAGGACATGGGTATTTTCACTTAATTCAGTTGCTTTGTGCTGGTGAGATAAGTGAGCTTATCAAATATACGGGAACAGCAGACGCTATCGCCCTCCTGCACTGGTGTTGGAGCAGAGTCACAAAAAGAGATAGACGACAGCAGTTACAAGCCTATCAGCCACTGGACACACTGTTATCAAGGCTCTCAATGGCACATGCTGAAGAGATGAGAAAGAGAGAGACACATACTGAGGGAAAAAAAAGGAGGAGCTGGAAAAATAACACTCCTAAAATAAACATATGGGGAATGTGAGGTAGTTCCAGTGGACAGCGTTTTTTAATAAGAAAAAGAGGGATACAGAGGTGGATTATAGATTTCATGTTTGAGAAATAATATTAGTCATTTCTATAGATAGGCCTGATCACTAATCAGTCAGTTGTTATTTATTTGAGATTCCAACTGACACAAGGAAAACTACGACTTGTAAATCCGGACGTTGGCTAAGAATAAACTTTAACTGTTGTGGTTGGAGGGACCACCACTTCCTTGTTTCCAGAGTATGGTACCATTTATCTATAGTTTTTCTAATACAAATAAATTTTTTGGTATTAGCATGTATTATTATTGAGAGTGCGCTCACGTTTCCACAAATCTGATCAATAACTTTTCGTGGTGGTGTCACCCGCTTGTCTCCATGGAAACAGATATAACAGATGTCATACTGTTGAATATTTTAGGCAGAGTAATAACATCTCCAGAAAATTGATACAATGCAACTTTAAATACTATAGAAATTCAAATTTAATTATTATTATTATTATTATTATTATTTTTTTTTTTGTCTTTGTTTGAGTTTTATGAAGTATTATTTTTGTCCTGTTTCTCTGTCTCTTGTTTGCAAAGAAAACAAAACAAAAATCTAAAATAAAAAAAATAATAAATGTGACTTTTCTTGACATAATTGTGTGTATTATTATAATTGTACTATATTTTACAAAATTATGTGAATTTTGTCAACCTTGGTTATAATTTCTGTCAGGTTAAAACGAAAGAGAAAAATGATGTGCTAAATAGACAAGCTAACCTAAGCCTGTTTGAAAGGCCCAGTCACTTTAAGCAGTGAGGCTGTGGTGCATTGTGACTAAGTATTTTAGTCACGCTAGCTTAGCTTTAGCATGACAGACAAGGGAGAGATGAAAATGTCACTGTAATGCTAAACGGTTGGCTTCTTCTTCTCCAAAAAACATGAGCCTACAGCATTTTTTTCTGCACATCTGCAAAAAAACTATTTTTAAGATGCGTAAAATAATGTATATAGATGCAAATAGCTGGACGTGTTATAACAAAACTCTGCCCGCTGAAGACTTTTTATCACAGAATTCTTTGCCCCCTGAAAATGACCTCATGTATTATTTTTAGACGCTGAGGCTTTCCAGTCGTTGGGAAGATTGGGTTGTCTGGACCAAAGAATTACTTGGCTCAGCGTCAAATGTAGTTCAAACAGTAAAAAAGAAACCTGGTTACAATTAAGAATAGATAGACAGTATATTTTAAAACATGCTTGATTCTTCCCTACAGACTTAAGGACCACTTCTTTCACTTTGAGCTTTAACTTTGGAAATCACTGGAATGATTTCAGCTTCATTGTGATTCGAAAAGCAGAAATGTGGGTGAGCTGAAGTCATTTGCTGAAGAAAGAGAACTATTTAAAGCTTGTGCTGCCTTTGTGACGGTCTACATTTTGAGAAACTAAACGTGGGTATTTCCCTTCCTCACACTTCATAGCCCCTCTGTAACCTCCCAACACAGCCACAACATCAACGCTTCACTGCTTTAATTTCACCACAGTACAAATGTAGATCTCACTATTTGTTTTATAAACTTTAGGATAGTGAGTCTTACTTTTAGCTGCCAGATACCATATCCTGACAGCAGCCTAAAATATGATCTATGAAAATACCAGATCATTAAAGGAGACGGTGGGTGATGGTAGCGAAGGTAATTCATCATCCTATAGTCATACACACACAGTTACATATGTGTACTTAACAGGCCCAATCTAAATACAGAGACGTCATCCTGTCACACATGGTTGCACTTAGCCAGCGTCAGAGAATCTACCTTTCTGCTTTCTATAAAATTGTATATTGGCTTTTGTAATTGTGTGGTCATTTTCTTGGCTTGCTTAACATAACCCACATTGTTTTAGATATAGGATACTAACTCAAATGTAGTTTTGTATGCTATGGCAGAAAAGGGGCATACAGCTGGTTCACATATGGGTAAAGATGGGATTAAATAAAATCTGAGCCATTAACATGCAAAGTAGTACTGAAGTAACAGCATCAGCAACATAAACTGTATATAAAAGAAGAAAGTGTCTTGTCAAAGTGATGAAATGTATTTTTAAAGACTCTTCATACTTACAAACAATGGAAAAATAAGTAAAATCAAAATGAAAGATGATAATTACTTTTTAGAACTATATGGTATAAGGCACTGTTTCTCAAAGACTGGGTCACAACCCTCAGGTAGGTCACAAGAGATTTTTTTTTAGGTCGCCTTGACACAATCTGCATGTAGGTCTGCAATATACACTTCTGACACATGTTGAAATGTTAAGACATGTTTTCTATCATTTCTAATCTTTTTGTAATTATTTTATTTACTATTTTGTTCCAATATTGCTGGTTCAATTGAATGTTGAAAAGAAAAAGAAATGGGCTACATTTAATGTACAAATACTAGGCGATTTATGGATCCCTTTTATTGTTGGTTTAATTACTGTTTTTAATTGTTTAAAAGTTGAATATATACTAATTGTTCAGAGAGACACGATCACTCACTCAACAATAAAACAACCTCATTCATGTTCAACAATGGTCAAATCCACGTTTTTATTTTGTGATTTACAAATAATGTCTATTGACTTGGGTCACGAAGGTCTGTGACTTTTAAAATATGGGTCCCCAGAAAAAAAGTTTGGAAAACACTGGTATAAGGTATGCAAAGAAATATGCAAATGAACAGGATGAGCGGTTCAAAGTTGCTTCTTTGACTAACGGAACAGAATATAGTGTTTTTAAAGTTGTT